AACATATCATTTGCAACGACATGGATAGAGCTAGAGGGTATAATGCTAAGTGAAATAAGTTGGTCAGAGAAAGACAAATACCATGGGATTTCACTCATATGTGGAATTCAAGAAACAACACAAAGAGCAAAGGGGAAAAGCGCTGGGGGGTGGGGGGGGGGATAGAAAGAGAGAGGCAAACCAAGAAACAGACTCTTAACTGTTGAGAACTAATGGTTACCAGAGGGGCGGTAGGTGGGCAGATGGGTGAAACAGGCGATGAGGATTAAGGAGAGCATCTGATGTGATGTGCAGCAGGGATATATGCAAGTGTTGAACCACTACATTGGACACCTGAAACTAATGTTACACTGTATGTTAACTAACTAGAATTTAAATAAAAACTTAAAATTACTAACACACGCTAGACACGGACGAACCTGAGAACACATTAAATGATTGGATTCTGTGGTATGTAAATTATACCTCAACCAAACTGTTAAAAGTAATGGGATAAAGATCTGATTAGACCTTTCGCCAAAGAAAATACACAGGAGCAACAGGTGTTAAGCTGGGAATATTATTAGTGGTTACATAAATTCAAATTAAATCGTGAGATACCACTATGTACCCACTAGAGTGGCCAAAATTCCAAACACTGACAGTATCAAATATTGGCAATAATGTAGGGGAAACCATATACGGTACTCGTGAGAATGTAAAATGGTACAGCCACTTTGGAAAACTGTTTGGCAGTTATCTTAGAAACGGAAACAAATATTTACCTTGTGACTCTGTTATTCCATTCCTATTTATTGAAGATAGATGAAATCACATGTTCCCATCAAGATTTATAGATCAATGTCCACAGTCCCTTCATTCATAACAGCCCAAACTAGAAATAGCCGAGGTGTCCACCCATGGGTTGGTGGATGACAAACTGGAGTATATTCATACAATGAATGTAGTATGAGTGAGTGTAGTATATTCATACAATACTCAGCAATAAAAAAGAACCGACTCAAGCAGGAACGCTGATGCCTTTCACAGATGCGCTGAGCAACGCAAGCCTTACACAAATAATGTTTTCATCTACTCTACAGCGACACAGCGGATCAATGGCTGCCTAGGGGCTGAGGGTGGATGGGTGGGAACAAGGTATAAAGGGGCCTATGGTACCTTCTGAGGGGTGATGGAAATGTTCTCTATCCTGGCTATGGTGACAGCACAGGTATATGTATGTGTCCAAGCCCATCAGACCGGACACTTACAAAGAGTGTTTTGTTGTACGTAAACTACCACTTACTGGAGTTGCTTTTAAAAAGCCGTGAAGAAAAAAATCTGATTAGGAATAAATAGATCCCACTCTTATTGAGAAAACAGGCCTCTAAAAAAACAGAAATGCGCAAACTCATCTGTCTGGCTGTCTCCACTGCAATCCTAGTGTGTTTCGTACTTTCATCTGTTTTCACCTCTTTTAGCAGCACTGACACGGACCAGGGTCTGGCACAAGCGTAAAACTGTTAACAGATGCACAGTCAGATCAAGTATTTTCCAGTGACTTTAATAATCGTACTCCTTGAGAGATAGGACAACAAATCTTATTCAAGAACGAGGTTTCACACAGCTGTTATTTACATACTTGCTATGTCACGCCTGATCACCAGCTTTTGCTAAAACTACGGAACCATAAGCTCCCTAAGGGCAGAAACTCGCTTTTCCCCGTCAATGTACATGCAGTGTCTCACACAGTATCTTGCGTCTATCAAGTGTTCAAAAAACAAAGGCTAAATGAATGAACCAACGCTTCACTCACCCCGCATTCCAGTTCAAGCAACTGCCGCATATTCTTCAGGCCGAGATGACTTCAGGATTATCAACAGAACTCTAAGAACGAAAATCAGACTACAGCTACTCACATGCTCACATGCAGTGACCTACAGGCGCTCTCTAGTGATCGATGTCAGCGCAGCAGAACGCGATTTCTGAACTGTTAACTGCCACATTTTTCATGCCTTGCATTTCTGGCTGTTTATGGCAACTTACTGAATCACTGGGAGCTGCTGCTTCAGTAGGGAGAGACGATAAGCGTAAGACAAAGACATCAAGGCTCAGTTTTGATGTCCAAGGTTTTTTAATGCCAAGAGAAGAAAGAGGAACCTAAAAGGTAACTTTTGATTTGTCAGAGCCACATTCTGGAGGCAGAAAGGGCTTTTAGCAATTTGCCAACTTGGGTGCGCAACATAAAAGAAATCATCGAGGACCTCAGCCTGGCTCCATCAGGCAGTTTATTCTACGAACCAGGGAGATGGGAAGAATGGGCAATGATAGAGGATAGTTGTCTCACTCAAAAAGAGCCAAAAGTTTGATCAAGTCTCTTTCCTAAGAGAACTGGAGGTAATGTAGCTAGATCTTGGCTGTAGAGGTCTACGACAGGCCTAGCACTTTCCTCTCCAATGGCTGACACTCTGGGGAATGTGTGAGAAAACCCTAGATAAAGTTGTACCCTGGCTGTGCAACAGGATCACACCACAACTGTTCACTTAGCGTCTCTGGCGTGGGGTCAGGCCTTATTATTTTTATTCATTTTTGAGAGGGAGGAAGGAGAGAATCCCAAGCAGGCTCCCCACTACCAACATAAAGTCCAACGTGGGGCTCAATCTCACAAATCACGAGATCATGACCTGAGCTGAAATCAAGAGTCAGACACTTAGTCAACAGAGCCACCCAGGCACCCCAAGGCCTTAATAATTTTTTTGAAAAAACTGTTCTCCCTTCCTACCTCCTGAGTTGATCTAATGTTCAGCCAAGTGTTAAGGATTACCGACGTACGGGGATCCCACAGCTGAAGAGTGCAGTACCTGTCTTCCACGGTATACCCATCCTCGTGTGTAAACTCCCTGGCAGTTCTACCACTGACTCCTTTTCACAGGGCGCTTGAGCACAGAATTCCCCACACAAACCAGGGAGCATCTTACTGAACATAGCTCAGACTTCACTACTGGTAACTCTCAAAGCTAGATTTTGAAGAGTCTGTTCTGTGAATGAGTGTCTGGTGGACAAGTTTCGTGGTTTAAGCATGGATGTGATACAAAGTTAACTACTGCTAGAAGGCCTGAAACTCACGCAACTGTCCCTGTAGAGCTCAACACAGGGGACAAGTTGGACTGGAGCTATTCATCAGCACTGCTCACAATTCCCGTGGGTCATCACAAACACACCAGCTCAGTTATTCGGAGCTTGTGTGTTCTTACCCAAACACTGTAGTCATAACAAAAGCTAGTGGCATTTGGGAAAGCAAACAGAGGTTCCTCAGACTTTCCACCTTTTCAAGGTATTTCCAGCCTCTTTCACTGAAAAAATTAGGAAACTCGGACTCCATTTAGTAATGACATAGGACCAGCTCTGCTCATGCAGTCCTTAATTAACTTTCTGAGACCCAGGTCTTTACCAAGTTGGACTTATAAGACCTTTGAAAACATTTAGGTGAGGATAGATTGGAATGGAAAACCAAACTCCCAGGCTCATGTAAGACCTATCAGCCATTGGTCACATAAGGCTGGTGAGCACTTAAATGCCGCTATTTCCGAGTACAGATATGGTATAAAATATACATCAGATTTCAAAGACTGAAAAATATCTAAAATCTCACTGATAATTTCTATACTGATTACATGCTAAAATGACAATAGTTTGGATATTTAAATACCCTAAGGCCTTTAGCCTTCACAGTGTTTGAGCTCCAAAAATGATGAACTATACACTATTTGACTTCCTTGATGGATATCCTCCGAATATTTGGATAATGAATATCCTTAACATTTACAGACTTGATAACATTTCAACATTTGTTATAAACGAGCTACTTTATTTAAAAAAATTTTTTTTAACGTTTATTCATTTTTGAGACAGAGAGAGACAGAGCATGAATGGGGGAAGGTCAGAGAGCGAGGGAGACACAGAATAAGAAACAGGCTCCAGGCTCTGAGCGGTCAGCACAGAGCCTGACACGGGGCTCGAACTCATAGACCGCGAGATCATGACCTGAGCCGAAATTGGACGCCCAACTGACTGAGCCACCCAGGTGCCCGTAAACGAGCTACTTTGAAACGTTATGACAGTTATTTGACATTTTTCTGAAATACAAATTTACATTGTTAACGCTAAACAGTTTAGTTTTCAGTTATCCAGACACTAAATTATCGAGCCAGTCAGAAAGGCTTTAAGTCTTTTATTTTAAATGTTCACTTATTTTTGAGACAGAGAGAGCGCACAAGCAGGGGAGGGGCAGAGAGAGAGGGAGGGAGCAAAGGATCCAAAGTGGGCTCTGTGCTGACAGCAGACAGCCTGATCTCATCAACGGTGAGATCATGACCTAAGCTAAAGTTGGTGGCTTAACCGACTGAGCTACCCAGGCACCCGAAGGATTTAAGTCTTAAACTGACTTTGTTGTAGTTTTTGGTCAAGTACTTTTTAATGCTGGTAAAATAATGAACATTGAATTCATGAATTCATGGAAAAGAACCAGACAAATAAGGCACTATATGGCGGAATGGTCTTATAATTACAGCATCAGTATGATATTGCAGAAAAATTATTTTCATTTTATGTGAGAAATCAAATCTTAAATCATGCAGTAATACTTATGTTTTTAATTTTTTTTTATTTTTTTACATTTTAGGACAACTCCCTCTAAGGTGTTAAGTTTCTACTATTCTCACAGATCTTGCTTTGTAGGAATTCCTGGTCTAGGAAGTTCCAAGTTATCTACAGGCGTATCTTTGAACCAATTTGGAGAAACCTGTGAAAGTCTGGTGTTCCTACAGATATGTTGTATTAGATTAGGGAGTCTGTGGGGGAGTCCTTGACCTAAGATAATACAAGCATGCCCCAAGGTTTCTGCTGCTTCTCCAGGAACTAAATATAAGCTTATCAGTCATCTTTCTCTGTCTGCTAAACAAAGATAATCATAGTGCACCCACGGGCAACCCATAGCCTTCCAGGAACCAATAAGCCTCTTCTGGAATACTCTACTTCCAACAATAGCTTACTTCTGTTGTGAATGTCTGAGAAGACTGGCATAATGAAAAGAGTTTGGGACAAATGAACCAGAGAGAAAACCTCATGAATGCTTCAGAATGCATTTCAGCACTTCACTAGACAAAGCTGGGAAAGCATGGCCCTATTCCAACAGGTATTGGATGTTAAGGGGGAATATGGGGGTGGGGGGAGTTGCTGGGAGAAGGCCCAACTCAACCGACCTAGAAGTCATTGCACTAGAAAAGTGTACCTTACTTACCGCATGCACTTACTGCCCTAACAGTGTTGGCAACATTGGTGTCTAGAGCACTCCTAAACCTTCTCTCTCTCTCTCTCTCTCTCTCTCTCTCTCTCTCTCTCTCTCTCTCGCTTTCTCACAACTTGCCAACTGTCTGGCTTCTCTCTCAAGGCTCTGCCTCCCATTTCAGATCTAATTTATGTTAGAGTTGATAATCTTTCTCTCTGGTTCTCCAGGGAGTATTTCTGGCATAATCAGCTTTCCCCAAGTGGAAATATTCTGTCCTTAAGAGTCAACCCTCCAAGCTGTGGCAAAAGGACAGACGGGAGTTGTCCTGGTCTTGTCCTTCATCCTCACATCTAAATGACTATTAAAGTGGAGTTCATTTTGCTCTCAAAACTTGTAAGTGCCTCCATCTTTCTTTTTCCTATTGTCACTCCTTTGGTTTTGTCCCTCATTATCTTGCTTGAACTGCTATAAATTTTCCAACAAAGTCTCTCTGCCTGTAGTTTCATTCTTCTGTATGGGTAAATTGCTCTTTTTCCTGTTTAAAACCCTTGAATTGTAGTCTGGGACGTATATTCCTTTGTGATTTGCCACCTGCTTACCTCTCTAGACATAGCAACTCTCCAAGAATGTCCTGCTTGTGTGTGCTATGCTTTCTGCCTTAGGCTCACTTTCCACTCCACAAGTCCTTTTATCCATACCCCCTGGAGCTATGTATGATCTATTTGTTCTTAAAGACTTAATCATTCTCTTGCCTAGTCTCATGACCTATGGTCTAATGACCATATGCATCTTGTGTATGTGTCTATAACAATTATTACAACTTATTATAGGTTTGCTCACTTATTTGCTTCACCCACTGAAGTTTAATTAAGGTCTCAGAGGCTAGCTATCTTGGATTTCTGTATTCTTGGTCCATAACAGTCCATAAAACCAAGTCTGCTTAATGCATACTTGCTGAAAGAGTCAATCTGTAAGCAAGAACAGAATCTACAATGCCCTCTATTATATACAGAGGTTTCTTAAATGCGTCAGCTAAAGGCTTAAGACATTACTTCTACACCTTGTGACTGAAGAGAATGACAAGTTATTTATTTATAGATAAGCACAAATATTTTTATCATCTTTAACCACCACTAACATCATGAAGTGCTTGCCGTGTGTCTGTTGCATACGTGCACCTTCCCAATTAACCCTCACAACAACCTGGAGGTAGGCAGTAGTTTTTTTTTGTTTGTTTGTGTTTGTTTGTTTGTTTTTACCTCTTTTTATAGGCAAAGGCAAGGCACAGAGGAGTTAAGCATCTCGCCCAATGTCACAAAGATAGCAAAACTGGGCAGTCTGGCCCCAGAACCCATGTTCTTAACCACTCTGCTACAAAGCTCAATACCTCTTACACATCATGAAACCTGTACTTCAAAAGATCAATTACTCCCTTTTCAAAAACATGATGGAATGTTACTAAATACAGTCTAAATTTTTAAAGTTATGATTACACATTGACAGACCACCCCACCCCAAAACTTAATGGCTCTACTACAATCATATTTCAATTAAAAAACTTACAAATAGGTTTCACAGTAGAAATTTCAAAGTACATTTTTACTCCTGGTTAAGGTAATGAAGACCTCTTTCTTTGTTCATTACCATTACGTAATTTCTCAAGCTATTGTAGATTTTTAACTTAACGGGTATACAAAAATAGATAAAGAAACTGTGACAACAGTTAATTCATGGTAACCTTTCAGCAATCAGGTAATTCTCAGTTTTATTATAATGTACTGTCAACTTCTAGGCATTACAGTGGATATGACAAATTTCCTTGAAAGCATTCTCTTATGTTATACTTCTAAATAACAGGATAATTTGGCAAGATCATTCAGAAGTTTTGTTTATTAAAATATCAATCATGAATTGTTCCATTTTAGTTTAGAACATACTAATACAAGTTGTTCCTAATACATTTTCTAGATTTCTTCTGATGGATGCTTTTGATGCCTTATTTAACAGGAAAATACTTTCTAATAGAGGAAATTAAGAGGTATTACAGAAGAGTTGTTGAAACCATGAACAAACCAATGGAAATAAATACTATTACTGTGATGTTCTTTAAAAAAAAAAAAAAAAGACACTCATATAATCATTGGAAAGAAATAAAATGAAATGGACTTCTGTAATAAAGACCAATATCATCATCAAATTCCAAAATATCTCTTGATCTCCCTATAGGGTCTGTTAACTGTATTCTATGCACACACGTGCTCAAAATGCTAATGACTAATAACATAACCTCTTCAAGATGCTAGCACCAGGGTCACTGGTAACAGGATACAGGCAGGACTGTAAGTTTATAAACATAAACCATCAGTCAATCTCAGCATATCAAATCAAAAGGGAAGGCATGAGAATTTAATAATAGGAGAAATCAGTCACTTCTGATTCTAAGACTTGCAGTCCTGACAGCGGCCTCACAGTCCAGGGCAGAGCTAGGAAGCACAATGTTGGTTAATCAAATACTGCAATCTTACTTTGAAATTTTTCATTTCTGAGATATGAGTTTATGCCATACTGCTCTTTGCTTCCCTATAAACTAACAATTTATCTTATTGTTAGCCGTTGGCCTAAAATTAATGATGGCTTCACATCTGAAAATACACCAACTCCCCTTAGTCATACTGCATTTTCAGCTAAAACTTAATATGAATATATATCTGGTTTTCTTCAATGCCTTTAGTTCTTTCCAGAGAATCAGCTGGGTATTTCCCATTCAATTCAGGAATTCTGTGATGGAAAAAGAACATTCAGTTTCCCAGCTTCAACACAGCATTCCCAGAATATGGCACTCAAAGTACTGCCTGAGTAAATTATTACCAAAAGTTTTACCTATTCAGCTGTTCATGAATAAGAATCACTACTAGGAGTATACCAAGTAGCAATTTCCTCTAAAACAAAACAAAACAAAACAAAACAGGTAGCAATTTAGTATCAGAATGAAAAGGTCTGGATACAGAGGAATAGAACAGTAAAACATAATTTAACTATTGTCATTCACTATATAGTAAAGAAAAAAATCAGAAGTTACGCACTTCAAAAAAAGGGGGAGTGATGGGGTCAGAGATAAAAGTATCAGCATGCTAAATTTTTTTTTTTTTTTAACTTAGAAAATACCTGTACAAGAACAAGGGACATTTCACATTTAACACACTGTCAATATGCATTGAGTTCACCTCAGGATAAATCAAACTGCAAGAAAATGGCCCAAATGAACTAGAAGATTTCCGGCAGCTCACAGACTGTACTCACAATTAATACGCAACATTTACCTCTATGACGTCTTACAGAGTTCATCTGATTTATATGGAAACCCCTCTGTGAAAAAATAGGATGATTTGGATATTATTATCAATGCATAAAAGGGATGTCAATCAGATGGTAAATTCAATTATTCTTGAATTTTTAAAGAGTTTCATGCTTTGCTCAAATGTAGCTTACTTTTAGGAAATTTCTCTTCTTCAGCTCTCCAAGTTAGTAAATAAGATCAGGTAATATTTACATTTAATTTACTGTCTTTTCATTTAAAGACATTTCTCTTAGTCTTGCTATAGTATGTTAATTTAAATAATTGCCCTTAAACTTCACTATACCCAAATTGGGAAAGTAAAATAAACTTTGAAAAGGAATCTGCCATTTTCACTAATACATTTGTTAACCTGAAATCTTTTCAAAATACATATTGAAAATATGCTGACAGTGATCCTCAGGTATTTCGTTTGGGCTACATTCTAATAAAGTATTTAGTGGTGAGAACAGAAATAACTGTGTATCACTTAAAAGAAACAGAAGACTTGCACAAAGAAACCAAAACCCATATAGCATGCAAGAGTTAACAATATGGCCTTTTAAATGTCGTTCAGCTACCACAAAAAAATCAGTTATAGAATTCATTACTTATATTTCAATCACAAACACTGCTCTGAAAACACGATCTATATCAGATTTATAACCAGATCTGAAAAACATAGATTAAGACTAGGTTTAGCTAATTTCTCTGGCAAAAAGCCCAAAGACAGGATAATTTTACTATCTCTTATACATTCCGGCAATAACAATAACAAAATTCAAAAAGCCAGATCAAAGTAAAACGAGTCAAAATTGGCAATAAACCCATTATGAAGAGTGGCACTAAAGTGAAATTTCAGAACATATTGCTTTCTATTTACGCAAGTGCGATCTCATTTTAAAACGTGTATTTACAAAGATTCTGGAAGGCTGTCAATCACCAACTTGATAGCTAGGTTTTCAATCTTTATTTTGTCTCCATAATGTTCAGTTGTCAGTAGTTTCAAGCAACATATTTAAATATCTAATGTGATTTTTGTATCCTACTTACACTATTCAGTGTCCACATACAGATACACAAATATTGTAAGTGACATTATGTAGAATATTATAATATTTTCCAGAGTAGCAATTTTGACTTTGAATAATAACCAGAGCATCTGGGCATAAAAACATTTTCAATTCCTAAATTCTTCTTTCTGGGGAGTCATTGATGGAGACTGAACCTAAAGTAAAAAATGCTAACCTCTATCAATTTTAACACAAAAGGGCTGCTATAAACAGATTTTAAGTAAGTACTGTTCTAGACAAATATAATAATCAAGGAGCACTTGAACTAACAAACACTGAACTTTCTTCTGCTGTAGCTGCTGCAGCACAGAACCGTAGGTCAGAGGCTGAGCGAGAGAGGCTGATATGGAACAGGACATAGAAGGAAAAGAACTAAAGTCTGTAAAATTAAAAAGTCAATGAGTAAATCACATATCAGAAAATCAACTTCCAGAAGAATATTAATGCGTCACTACCACAGCTAGAGTTAAGCTGTGCCTTTAAGAACGGAAGACAACAAAACAATTCTTACCATAACAATATACCAGTAGTAGGAAAAAAATGAATCATTCACAAAATACTCTAAGAGGTCTTTCCTGGGGTGAGCGGGTACATGTGTTATGTGTGGAAGCTTACAAAATGAAAAATGTGAAACAAAATGGATTCATACTAAGATTTCATGGTAACAGAAGAAAATTGAAGGAAAGATTTTCCGTGAGGGAAGAGTATTTCCCATAACTGGTTTAAAAAGCACCTATGAAACCGTGCTGTCAGCCGTCACAATGGAGGTTTGGGACGCTTTTGTCAATTGCAGCATAACAAAAGGCATTTCACAGCATAACTTTAGGGAAAATGTTATCTGGTCTGGAATCACACAGAAAGCAATGAAAAACTCTTTCAATTGTTTCTAAAACACCAATTTTTCTGGGTAGCAGCAGTTGCTCCTGTACGTGCCCTTTCAAAAAATATGAAACAGAAGCAGAATAGGGAAAAATTTTGAGAGTAAGAGTAGCAGCATTAAATAGAAAAGCAAATACTTAAATACGTTAAAGAAAGCGTAAAATAAGGAAACAGTACTTGTGCAACTTTCAATTATACCAAGTAAAGTGCACTGCTTAAATGTTCACTGATAACATTTTCCCTGTATGTTGAAAATATGAAATCTACTTATTGGTATCTTTTTAGATTAAAAAAAAAAAAAAAGACATTCACTATTGTAGCCTGATAGCTCTCTTCCAGTATTTTGTAACCATTCAGATGTATTTTGTGGGAATATTTATTCACATAATTTTGCTTAATACATTTCTTTCTACACAAGACTGAATTTAAAAGTCTATTATCTATAACATTTTCAATTACAGTAATAACACATTAATAAATTATAAATTAACAAAATCTTCATATTTGCTTTAAAAAATCATTTATCAAACACTAACTTCCAGATTATCTGGAAAATTAAAGATGCAAATTGCTATAAATCCGGCATCCCAATTAAATTCTGATTTTTAAAAGTATATAAAATGTCCCTCAAGTTATTCCAAGTTTCCACTCAAGAAAATTTTACCCTTTTCATAAGTTACTAAGTTTACAACCTGCTAAACATTCTACCCAAATGTGGGAAAACTGTCTGGAGATGCAAAGCACAATGAAATAATTACATGAAAAGAACAAACAAAAATACCCGTTAAAACAAAGTTATTATAGCTGGCAGCACTTAAAATTGGTAATTTGTATTTTTTAAAAAGTTGCATAGCTGCTGCAAGATGATTCATTACTGATTAACTACTGAGCAGTTTTACTTAAGAGGAAATAACACGTGTAATAAATTGCAATTCAATAGACAATCTTAGCCTCAGTTCATTAAAATGTAATTATGTAACTTGATTTACTCTTTGGACTGCATTCTGATAATGTTAAACCTTGAATTTAAAATACTAACATATTTTAGCTCTCCTATGCAGAAGTCTATTTTCTACTCATAGGAGAAAAAATAGAAGAATTTGAGATCATGGTCTACATTCAGAAAATGTTTTACTGCTTGATTTCATTTCTTGGTTTCACATTTAAGACTTTAATTTATAGGAAGTACATTATGTGGTCTTCAATTTAAGAACAGACGAATACAGAAACATCATGTAGGGGAAAATAAAGTGACCCCAAACAAGAAAAAAACAAGTCGAACACAACTAGTTGCGCAGCTCTAGAGAACTTAAAAAAATCAACTTTTAAATCAGTTAACTTTGGCGTCTGAATACAAAATGTTTATCAGTATTACCTATGTAGATGACTAGTAAGGGAGGTGCAGCATTTTCAAAATCCCTGTGTGTCCTCTATATGCATGTTCGGTACACTGAGTTCTGTGGCAACTGCCCTCTCTTCAGCAGGGTTTTTCCCCGTGTGATTGTCCATCTCTGCGTTACCAAGTCTCACAGAACTCAGATCTCTGGCTGAGTATGCCTGCAGTTTTGTTTTTCTTTTTCCAGAGACAGATCCTCATCTCCTCTCAGTTTTTCAAGCATCTTGAAAACACAAGAAAACCTGTGAAGAAGCAGACACATGAAGTTCAAGCAGTGGTTCCTAATACTAATACAAATCAAAACACAACATCCATTTCCCCAGGAACACTGCTTTAGTTGCTATAAGTTTTCATACATTTACTTACTATTCTGAAAACTTATGAAATCAATGTTCTGCAAAAGAACAGGTAAAGGACACAGCAGGACCAGTTAAAGCTTAAAACAGTCATGAAAAATATCTACCACATCACAGTCATTTTCCCTCCACAATTAAGACCAGAGTACAGAAAACACACACACACACACACACACACACACACACACACACACACACACACACACA